ATTTTGTTGAGTGAACTATAAACAAAAATCGCACGATCTTCTCGTACAATTTGGAAATTAATAGACACGAGTAATGTTTTGAAAGTTTTTGTAATTGCACGAGCCTTTTAATTTCCAAATTGTACGAGAAGATCGTGCGATTTCCTATACAAACAGCAACAACAACAGCTGCAAGGCCCCAAATCCAACTGAAACTAACATTGAACAACAAAGTGTTGTTATATCAAGCAAGCTCAAGCAGTAGCGTTGGAGGGGCAAGCACACGCGTTTCGGCGCGAAAATTCCAGCCAAATCCACAAGTATCCCAACAAAATAGGAAAAAAGAGAAATTTACGATTTCTTTCCCATGTTGTCCTTTAGGATTATTCTGGCATTTATCGTTATTTGTCGTGCCAATAAAAGTAAAACGAAAACGCCTATTTTACTAAAATAATATAGATCCAGTCTTTAATGGTAGTGTAGTACGTTTTTTTATTATTTTTATTTATTTGTAATTAGTTATATTATTTAAACGTTTATTTTGTTCAATTTGCTTTGTCTTTTTTAATGTTGTATTTCGTGTTTCTTTTTTTGCTGGTTCTTTGTCACATCGTGTTTCAGAACATACTCGTATTCTGATTGAATGAGCTTTGTTCATGCCATCAATGTAAAGCCCTTTGTGTTTCGCACACAAACGGTATCTATTCAAATACAATGTAACAGCTATCTAGATCAAGTTTTGAGTTTTAGGATAATTCATGATTCATCCATGGGCTCGACGTCTTCATTACTTTGCTCTTCCTCAGCTTTCATTTCAACATCTCCTTCACCTTCTTCGTTTACAAGAGGCATATTTTCCTCATGGTCCTTATCATTCCCGGTTGGCTCTTCCGTTGTATTGTCTCCTTTAGCAATTTCTTCTTGGCTAGTGTAGAAGGGAAAAACATTGCTGGGAGAAAATATTAGGGAAAAACATTCTGGAAATAGAAGCTCATTTGCTAAACCTTCTTCAAATGACAAATGTAAGTGAAACCTTTTGTCCTGATGGCTTGTCAATAGACAATCTACAATTGGCCAATGGTGAGTCATGTATCATGATTTGTTCATTAATCTGAGGGTCAAGGATATCTGTTTACTGACAAGGCCTTCCGTTTTTAAGCAGGAAGTAGTTTTTGTAGTAAACAACAGCTGCAAATCTACTGTACTTTTCTAGTAAAAACAGGTTTTGGTCATGTACAACTTTGTACATGCGCACTGGAAAAGAGTAGGTTTGTTTGCTGTACAAACAATTACTTCCTAAGCCTTTTTCTGTTGTCTTCTTCAGAATTATCCTTTATGTAACTTTAAAATATCTTTAGTATAATCTGTATCTATTAATTAAGCTAGCGAGCACCATCGACCGATTTTCAGGGTCAGCTCCTAGAACTCAGTGCTCGTAATTTTTCCTTAAGTCAACACCTGTTTCAAACTCTTACGTCATACATGGCCTAACTGGTTCAATCTAGTTTGACCTAGTACAAACCAGTTATGTGACGTATTACTTTACCTTAGTCCTTAAATACGAGCTCACTCAGAGTTATAATTAGTTGCAGTTGGAATCACAGTTGAGCTCAGAGTTAAAGTCCTAAGTTACAGCTGAAGAAATAAAGAAGAACAGAAGACCCATAGAAAGCGTTCAGAATTTTTGAGTCCGATTGGGAAAATATCACTGCCCCACTTCCATGTGTAGCTGTTTCCATAGTAATCAGCGTATTTAGCAATTATTTGATTGACAAGAGATTAACTTAATCTCTTAGCGTCCTTCCTATTTAATTCAGTATAGTATATCACTCGATTGAAGTAAGACGAACTTTCGGGATTAATATCTTTGTGTAATTGTTTAACTGACCCGCCAACGTTGGTAAGTCCTCAACCTTATTGTATTTCTTCTTTAATCCGTAGCACAATTGATTCCTTTGTTGTGTATTTCGCCTCGTGAATCATTTTACGAGTAACAACAATTGTAAACAGATCAATAGGCTAACTAATCGATCATACTTATCATAGTTGACCAGATCATTACCAGATTTAATAGTGCAAAGAATAAAACAGAGATTTGCGTACTCAACTATGGCAGTGGTCTTTGTATATACAACATGTTTGAGAAATCCCGTACACCATGCGTGACACTAGTTCCACCCATAATTCCTAATCTTACATTTCCAGTATTCGAGTCCTCTCCATCCGTCCCTTACCTTCTCTAATTTTTCATTGTCTTCCGCTTTGGTCTTTTTTTCTTCAGCAAGCAGAGCACCCGATTGCCCTTCATCCCTCGGCTTCCCTTTTCCTTGTTATACAGTTTCTTCTCCCGGTGTCCCAGTAATCGAACCATCTCCAGTCACCATGTTATCTTTTCCTGGTTGTTCAGTTTCTCCAGTCACCATGTTATCTTTATCACTTTCTTTACCTTTGGCATTTTCTTTTTCCAGCTTTCCGTCTTCAGACCCTGTTTCTTTCTGCTGTTCATCCCCCTTTAATCCCTCTTGATCGTCCTCTTCGCTGTCATCATACCCACACCTCGAACCCTTTCCTACACATTTACCTGTTTTAATCATTGTATTTTTCCTGGATAGTCCTTTAGTATTATTCTGGCCTTTATCGTTCTTACTGATCTTTATCTCGTTATACCGCCACCCGGTAGCTCAGTTAGTTGAGAATCGGACTTTCGTGCGCGGGAGGTCGTGGTTCGAGTCCCGGCCGGACCATTACTCAGGTCTTAAAATAACTGAGGAGAAAGTGCTGCCTTCGTAATTACATCTGCAAATGCTTAGACTTTCAAGTGGCTCGGATGACCACTTTAAATGGCGGTCCCGTCTCTCCACACTCAACATTACTAGCCAACATCGGAGGGACGTAAAAGAGCTACTGAGGACGTAAAGAAACCCTGGCAGTGACCACCCTCAGTGCCTACACTGATACACCTCACACTAACCATCTCTCATGCTTGTAAATTGCATAAAAGCTGTCATTCACAACTCAATGTAAAGAGCCTTTGATTATATCCATATAGAAAGGGCGCTATATAAATCATAAATCATTATCATTAAATCATTATTGTTATTATCATTAACCTTTCCTTTCTCTTCTTTATCCAGTTTTTCCTTAAAAAATCTAAAGACCGAATCTTTAGCACAGTGTGATGTCCAGACGCTTTCTGTCGTGCCTACAGAAGAAAAATATAAACGCATATTTTACTGAAATAATGTATAGATAAAAAAGTGTACTTTAGGCAATCATTTCTATCCCTCAACACCATCTGGCCTACATCTTTATCTTTCCATATACATACCTGCAGATACTAGTTCACAAGTGTCGCCTTCATAGTACGAACGTATTGGAGTGTCCAGTGGTTCTCTCGACGAAACCCAGTTTCTCGTTCTCTGATCAGGAATGAAGAGCAATGAATTACCATTAGTGATATTTTATAAAGAAGCTAGTGGACTGCATATCGTGCGTTCTGATTGGCTAAGTTACTGCTGGTCTAGTTCTCATAGTATTTTAGAGAAAACTGAAGTCAGCTTTTGAAATAGCAAAAAAAGAATAAAAATACTGCAAGGATGTCGAGTGGTGGTAGTACACTCTTTGGGGTCTCCGGTTCGATTCCTGTAGTCGGTATCCCATGCGAGTACATCTGTTAGGTATCTCTCCTGATTCAAAGGGATTTTCTCCGCGGGTTCTCCGGTTTTCCTCCCTCCGCCGGCGCAAAACCTAAATTCCAATTCACTCTGTAAATTAGCTTTGCCCTGACTTTTGTTTTTAGGTAACAATAAAATTTATCTTTTTTCTGACCTAACCTACTGATACATGCACCATATTAATGTCTGTATTGACTTTGAGAGTTATGTATACGAGACATTACTGGGTTTCATATCGAGTGGGAGGACTGGGGAAACCGGAAAACTGTTGACCAGGCTGGATAAAATGAACAATTTTATATATACTCAGTATTTCAATAAAGTTAGTCACCTGAAAAGTGACAAAGCTGACATCGACAAGGATTATTATGGATTTATACAAGGATTTATATATGTCTTCTCGCTCTCTCAGATCTTCATCAGCGAACCTCTTAACCAAAGGCTCTTTCAGGCTAAAGAAATATGAGAGCTTTTGCAGTTGCTGCTCCTGAGTTATGGAACAGCCTACCTCCATCCCTTC